TGGGCAATCCTACTTCCGTAGTGATACTGCCTCGGAAACCCAAGGAGGGGTCGCTATGAGTCAGGGATGACTCGACGGCACATAACAACAACAACAAATCTTTACGGAGGCAGATTTACACATCTTTCTCCCATGGAGCTGCTGATGGGCTCAAATCGCTGTCCTTTTGGTTAGCAACCAGGCACTTAACCACTGTGCAACCAGGGCTGCTCCTCATTGGCAGCCTAGGCCAAATGGCAAAGAACTGGACTTGTGGCTTTGAGGCAGGAACTCAGGCAGTATGGCTATCAGGGTCTGGTGATGAGGTGGTAACTCCACCTCTCTGAGACTTCCAGGGCTTTAGCAAGGCTGCCAGGGATGCTTGTGCCAGTAGGGTGTTGGCAGTGCTGGAAGCAGTTCAGACCAGCAGGTGAGATGGTTCAGAAATCACCACATGTGAAGTCCTGCCTTGTAAGATAGGTTTGACTTACTCTGCAGGAAGATACCAGCAGTTGTGCAAGGCAAAAACATAGTTATAATGCCAGCCACAGGAGCAGGGCCAGGGAGGGGGTCCTAGGCAAACACTTAGGAAAAATATTTGGGAGATATATTATGTTGTGATTTTGAAGTGGACTAGCAGTACCATTTTACAATTGAATAATTATATTGTCTCAGGGTGATGAGGTCACAGAATTTTGGTAAAATCTTCCCTCATTCTTTTTCTGGGATCCTTGATGGGCAGTTTTTTATTCTGATACCCCTAAAAGTGAGAATTACCCAGCATTTCACATCACTCATCTTCCCAGCAATGAGAAATCTCATTATGGCATAGGCAGCCAATTCTTTACTTGGTAGGTCCTCTTGGATGTCATATGTTGTTCTCAGCTCCTAATGAGTTAGCGCCCAAACCATGATGCCCCACACGGAACAGAACAACATGCTGTCCAGTCCTGCACCATCCTCATGATTGGTTGCATCAGACCATTGTGATCCATCTGGTCTTCAGGGGGTTATTTTCAGATATAAGTCGCTAGGTCTTTCTTTAGCCCATCTTAGTCTGAAAGCTCCACTGAAACCTGTTCAGCATCTTAACATTCAGGCCTCCACTGACAGACAAGTGGTGGCTGCACATGAGGTGCCTTGGCAGGAACAGAACCCCAGGACCACAATGAAAGGAGGGGATTCTACTATTGAACCATCACTGTCCACAGTTCTCATATGTTGTTGTTATGTGCCATGGAGTAAGACCTGACTCATAGCGAGCCCTCCTTGGGTGTCCAGGGCAGTATCACTATGGGAGTAGATTGCCCAACCTTCCTTCCGAGGAATGGCTGCTGGGTTTGAACTGCCAGCCCTCTGGCTAGCAGTCAAGTGCCTTAGGCACTATGCTACCAGAGCTCCTACACAGGTACCTCAAATTCATTGCCCCTTATTTATTACCTCCCAGATTCTACCCTTTATTCTCTGTATCTATTTAGTGTTGCTACTATATATTCCAAGTCACAGCCCAACAGTCCACATAAATTCTTTGATTTTCCTCACAGTTCGCATTTAATACCAAGAAACTTTCATTTTCTTTCCTTTTTCTAGTACTGTTCTCCCTCTCCACCCTTACCCCAGTCCCCCAATGTTCAGGTTCTGAATATATCCTTCCTGGATCTTCTTCAGTAGTCTCTAACGCATTGGCTATAAATGAAACCAAAATACAACAGACCTAATGAGTCCAGGTAACTAATGTAGTTCTGGGTAATTCACCCCGGGATGTGAATCTGAACTGCAGGTGCTTTCTCTTTGGGCTGACAGTATTTCACTGCTTGCCTCCACTCCCTCATTTTCTTGATCTTTGTTTTAGAACTCTGACCACAAATCTAGTTAACTCAGCCACAGTGGTTTAGAAAGAAATTATAAAAGATCAGGTGGTTATTAGACTGACAAAGAGCATGGCATTTGATCACACACCGTTAGCAAGGGTGTGGTTAGACAGCCGTGTGCATACATCACTTAAAAGTAGGTTCAAATTTGTAGAACCTCTTTGGAGGGTGACTTGGCAATGGTTATTAAATATAAAATAAACTTACTCATTGGCCCAGTAACTCCATTTCTAGGAATCCATCCTGAAGATATGCATATGCACAAGATGTATCCACTTAAGGAGAATACTTTGTGGGAACAGAAACCACCTGAATACTCAGCAAGGGTGAGGCAAAATAACCAAAATAAATAAATATATACCGTACCATTGAGTGAATTCCAACTCACAGACTCGATAGGACAGAGAACTTCCCCATACGCTTTCCAAGGCTGTAAATCTTTACAGCAGCAGACTGCCTCATCTCTCTGTGGCTGAGTGGCTGGTGGGTTCAAACCGCTGACCTTCTGTCACACAGACAAATGCAAGTATGCTACAAATATACCCAAATCCAAACCCAATGCACTGCCAGGAGTCATTTCTGACTCATAGCAACCCCCCAATGGATTTCAAAGTCTGTAAATCTTCATGTAAGTAGACTGCCTCATCTTCCTCCCGCCAAACACCTGGTGGGTTTGAACTGCTTACCTTCTGGTTAGCAGCCAAATGTCTTACCCACTATGCCACCAGAGCTTCTTTAGCAACCATCGAGTAGTATGCAATTAAAATGATTAGGTAGATGCTGCACGTATCTGTG